TTTTAGATTTGGTGTTGCAAAATATATTTATATCATATATATTAATGTTTTATAAAAATTGTTTGCAAAAGATTTTAATTCCCGGGGTACATCCGAGCAAAGAGTGTGACACTACACCTTGCAGCCAAGGGAGAGGTCCTTCCCTGTTGAGCAATGTTTGATCATTATGAGCAGAGAAGTTAAGTGCAAGAGACCATTAAGGGATGATTACCTTATGAGCTTTATCTTACTTAAGTCCATTATCTTTGGATATTCATAATCATAGGATGGCTGAATTCAATGATCATTTAAGTGTAAATATTGGGCCCATATTGAGTTCATAGTGATGTACTTAGTGGGTCACTGCGTTTAGTAGTGAATTCGGCCAGGCCTTTTCACAAAGGTTAGGCCGAACCCATGTGTACTTATGTGAGGTCATTGTGGGGTTCCATGCCATACAAACCAGGCCTAAGTTGGCCATACAAAATCTTGGGTCATGGACATTTGAAGCAAATGGGCCTAAGACCCATAATTAATAAAATCAAGTAAGTTGTCACATGACAACTTGCTTTGGGTCGAATCTAGGTTTGGAAATGGGTATGGAGTACCCATTCTCTTAAGAGGATAAGGCTTATAATCTCCTAATTTGATTAAGAGAAGTGCTCCATAAAGAGATAAAAGAAGAAGAGGGCGAACCAAACTAGAACACTACTATTTCTTGTTCTCTCTTCTTCTCCTTTGTCTTCCAAGAAACCCTATCACGACCTAGGCTTTGAAGAACTGATAGAAATCAATTTTCTTCTGATTTTTGCAAGAAAAATAGAGGAACTTCAAGCTCACCTTCCCCAGTTCAATCCAAACAGTTGGGTTGTAGTTTTGCTGAAAATTATGCTGTTGAATCAGTTTCACCTACACACTGTGCCATCTTCAGTAGATGTTGGTTTTAGGATTGATTTGAGCATGAACTTCCACCTTGGGATCTGCATCTGTGGTATTCATATCAGGTATAAATCTCCCTCTTTAATTGGCTTCAAATATGGTCTGGTTCAGTGCAAGACTGATCCTGAAAAATGTAGTTTTTTTAAAAATAAGGAATTTGATTACTAGAATGAATAGGAAATTTTTGAAATTTTACCTAGCCATCTAGCATGGTTCGGCCATCCATATGATGGATCCTAACCCTTCCAACACAGATTTGATCTAATACCATGATAAATTATTATCAGAGATTTCTGATTTTGGTAGAAAACTATATATAGAAAACGGAAGTACGGATGTTTATATACAAAAAGTAAAAGAAAAGATAAAGTAAAAGGAAAGATAAACACTAAGTTGGATAAATACAACAACAAGGATATCAAATAACTCCTAGCTTGATGGAAAGTGTTAGTGTTCTGTTGGAACACGAACAAATGGTCAACATCAGAATTGACTCGAGGTAACCAATCAAGAGTGAACACGCACACTCGTGATCCCTAAACATTGTTTCGGGTGTGGCCCCATGTGTATAGATAGGGACGGAGCTAAGTATAAAGGTGTGGGGTCCTTGGCCCATCCAAAGGTTTTGTTAAAACTATTATAATTCATATGTTTAGTGGGTGGAGGCAGTAGCAAGCATGTAACAAAGTGGGTCCTTCCCCCCACCCCCCTCACTCGCCTCCACTTCGACAAAGCCCCCCTTTCAATTAGTGATATACATTTTCATTCTTCTTAATATGAAAGATTTTTATTAAAAATAATCTTATATGATATCCTCCTTTTTTTTCCTCCTCACCCCCTTTCTATTAAGGAGACTTTTGTTTGGAAGACTTACACCTCTTATGTTTGAAACTATGCCTTCAGGTAGTGGAATGTCTCACATCACACTTCCATATTTTAAAACATTGCCCGTGAGTGCCCTCCCTCCCTTTAATTATGTTGTGTCATTGTTCATGTTGTAAATCTCTATAATATAAATTTTTTCATTACCATAGGCCCAAAAAAAAATGTTATATAACATGATCCAAAAAAATCCTGACTCCGCCACTATTTACTGATCACTGCTTACGTGGTCTATTATATATGATTTTGTTTGTAGCAGATACGGCCCTATTAAACAAATGGAAATTTGAGATAGATGAAGCCACATTAAAAATAAAATAACAAGGCGGTTAGATGCCGAATCCCTAACCCGGATTCCCGGACATCAAGTTTTTTTTTTTTTTTCAGAATTTGTCATCAATTATCTTCAAACTTCTAGACGCACTTGGGCAGGGTTTGATTGTGAAATCAATAGTTATGATATAACAATAAAGAATTCAACTAAGTCATTATAATGATTTAGAGTTATAAGTTATTATAATTAACCTACAAATATTAGGTTTCAAAACCACCAGACACACATGATTCATGATGAGTGATGAGCTTGGAAGCTCGTGATCGTGGCAACACCAAATAGTTGTCATATTCTGCGCTCTAAATTAACTGATGTATTAGAAATCCTCATTTTCTTACAAATTTCAGAAATTCTGATTCCAGCTGATTTTAATTAGGGATGGTAATTTCTATCTTATGCAGTGGGTATTTATTCCTACTCGCTCTAAGAGGACAGATTCTTTTATTCAAAGGATGGGTTTTGGGGAAGGAATGAGTTTTAAGATTCTACAACTAGTATAGGTATAGTATGCTAAATTGGATCCTCCCCAATCTATATATTATTAGAAATTATATAAATTTTGTGTATTAGATGTTGAATTTAATAATATTTTGAATGTTATATAAAATATATAAACTTTGTGTATTATAACATATTTAATATTACCAACCGATAAATGCACTTTTTGCCCATATTTAATATTTTGTTTCACACAGCTCAAAGTTCAGAAGCAAAAACTTATCCAAATGGGGTATTAGTTGTGAGCAGATGAGGAGGGATGCATTCACCACTCAAGAACTCTCCACCACCCACTGTCCACATCACCAACTCAGCAAGTTGCGATGTGAGTGGACTAAAAATAAATCATCCCGAAAGTGTCAATAAATATCGCACAACATTATTATCATGAGAGTTTGGCAAAAGTTTTAGTGGCGATTACTAACCTAATGCACCCTCCTTGAGACCGACAATGTAAGATAAGCTCACACTAGCAAAGATATCATACAGTTTCTTTAAAGAAAATGCGTTTTAATAACACTAAAACAGTCCCCCACACTTTCTACATTGTCCACCAAGTGACCCACATATTTGGTGACTGGTGAGCCTACTCTTTCTGCTCTCTCTTCTTGGTCATGCATTTTAATACTCTGGATTTTTTTTCCTTTCTTTTAGGTTTGATAAAAATTTAAATAAATTCATTTCCTTCTAATAAATTGCAGATTTTAGGTGCATGCCCTATATGTGATAAAAGAAGAAAAAATAAAAAATAAAATTATTATTTAAATTAGACCCTTGTATCAGTATATAGTCCCATATCATTTTACGTTACTTGTGGGCCTCCGTAGTCAAATGTTTTTTATAGAATAAAAATAAAATAGTGGAAAACATATCTCGCCAGAAATTATTAAAACATTATAACGCATTAAACTATCAACCGTGAATCCACCAGATCTTGAATTTGTTAGCTTCCTTCCCTGCTCCCAAGCCACACGCATTTCCATTCTAATATATAATTGAAAATATTCATAGGAGCTTGTCAATTAATTAAAATCGGAGGTCCACTTTTCAGTTCCTAATCCGAAGTTCAAATGAGTGAAAACAACATGCAAAACGGGCCAAACCACCCCTTTCATTTGTTTTTAGTTTTAACATCTTTCAGCTATCTCCCATGCCCTGTGGGCCGGTCTGGGCCCCCAACCCTATGTCATGCCCCCTTATATTGAGCGCTAAGTCCATTTCGGACCCATCCTGGCCCCTTCAATGACCCGTCATTTCGGACCCATTTTTTGAATCCAACCTCCAAATCGGAATCAGAATCAAAATCGTATGCTTCGAATTCTTGGCCTTGACCGGTCGATTATTAAGTAGTGATTAGTGAACATCTAGGCTCTGTTCGTTTATTGGCATCTCATGGGGTAAGTTGGTCAAATGGGTAAGTGATCAGGAATCTTACATTTTTGTGTCACTATATTGGATCCCACAGTAAGTGAATTTTCATATCATTTACCAGGGTAATTGATACCTTTTTAAAGATGGATAAGTTGTTTACCTACGAGTTTCGCTTCGGTCAGTGCAAGCTCGTTCATGCTCACACTGTTTAAACAGCATCTTACAACCTTGCATTAGGAATATTTTCCCATAAAATAAAGTACATAAGTATAGAGATATTTCCAATGCAAGGCTGTACAAGTCTGTTGGGAGAGATGCCAAATTCCTTATCCAACCATTGGAGGAAAAATCAATGATATGGGAAATATATGATATAGAAAGAGTTTTGACCAATCAAAATCCACCCATAAATTTTGATAAATGACACCTGATTCGCTACCATGTTTATGATTCCAATTTATTGGTCAGTTGTTTTTCCCAATCATATCTTTTCCGTATCATAGTTGAACCCCCCATGTTGAAAACACTAATCTCCTCTTTTCCCATATAAATGAAAATGTGCACAAACATGGGCACCAAAGTTACTCTAATAACTTTTGCTCGAAAAACACTTGCTGTGATAAATTCGTTTAGACAAACAAGACCCTACTATTAACTGAGAACAGTCTCTGTCTAAGGATTAAAAATAGAAGTACAAGTAGGAAATAAGTCAACTATAATGAACATGAATATTAATATTGGATTAATGTTGACCATTCATTCTTCTCTTTTGTAAGGCTGTAGATTCATATATTTAATTTCTGAAGCTTTAAATCAACTTCCTACCTTCCAGGATGTGTACATAAAACTGCCCAGATTCAGATTAGATTGAAATTAGAGAGAAATAAAAAGAAAATATGAAGGAATTTGAGTATAGTTAATTTGCAACATTATGTAGATTTGTAAAGATGGGGATTATTAGCTAGGGAACGTCCCAACTCCCAAACCCAATTGTTGGTCTGCACGTATTGTCCAGCGGAAAGGGGGATCAAACGGTGCACTATATAAGTGGTCCATTCGTGCAGTGTCTCTTCATTTAATATTGGACAGCGACACCCGTGAGAAATGCCGATGAGAGTTTAATAGGTGGTTGATTTCACCGGCCTTCGCCTTCCCTTCTTATTTACCGGCGATACAAAGAAGCTCTCTCCCGTCTCTCTGTGATTCCGGGAGAGAAGAAGAAGATAAAGTTGGTGAGGTGTAAGATGGAAGGGGTGTCTGTGAATTTATTGAAGGGGTGGAAGGGGTACTGGAAGAGAAGAGAGTACGAGCGGCTGGACGGGAGTGGCCGGCGTCGAAAGGCCCGGGTGGAGTTAACGACGGTACGTCTGAACAGAAGGAAGCGGTTCTGGCGTATCAGGATCACGCCGAAGCTCCGGCTCATCCGCATCCCTTCCCCCAAGAAGCTTCTCATACGACTTCGAGATGCGTACGTGAGGATGATGCTTGGGTTCGCCAACACCGGCGTGTTCAGCAATGGGTTTGGTGGGGGTGGAGCGGTCGGAGCTGGGTTTGCGAGGCCACCCTTGAAGGAGTACGATGAGGCGGTGCTGGTTCAGATCTATAAGTCGTTGATGGCTCAGGGACAGTTACTGCCTCGCGACGCCGGGAGACTAGCTGCCGAGATCTCATGTCGACGACGCTGATTATATTATATTAAATTAAATATGGGGTTTCTTCGGTTCTTCCTCTTACTTCCTATTTTTCTTTTATTTTTAAGTCTTTCTTAGCTTGTTTTCTCCGTCTATGCTCTTCTCTTAAACTGTAATTAACAATAATAAAATTAAAATGCTATAAATTATCTGCTGCACTGTCTATTTTGCTCCATTCGTCGTCGTCGTCGTCGTGCACTTCCATTCCGAAATCAGAATGTGATTACTGACTTGACTTGTTGCATGAATTGTGCACTTCCATTTCGCTCCATCCTGCAACTACATACTTCCACTTTTTGGATGTTCAAGTTCAAGCCACCTCGTTTAACATTCAAAAATTTTAAACAAAACATGAGGCGTAGCTGAATCATCCGCAGTACGATACTTCTGGAAGCAAAATTTTTTTGTGATTGTTTTTGGTGTAAATTGGGATCGCTCCACTTTTTTGTCATTTATTTTAAATAAAAATATTTAGATCAATAATCATACTTTTTCACTTTATAACGATTCACTCATTTAAACCAATCAATAAATATTGACATTCATTGATGTATTTTAAATCGATAAATATTTACACCGAAAACAAACAGTCTTTGAACTTTCTGTTATGAAAAGCAAAATTAGGCAAAAAGTAGTTTGAAATTTTGGTAAGAATTGCTTTTAAAATTAAGATAGTTTTTTCTCAAACCTAAAATTGGGGTTTTGTGATTTTGGACTTAAAAAACAGAACAAACCTGAAGCTTATCCAACTGTAGCCTTTTAATTTGTAAATTTATGCTAATTTTGTATAGATATACTGATATTCTAATTAAACTGGATATGCGGATATGTAAAAGGATTGAATTTGAATATGATTTGCAGTTACTGGGTATCTGGAGCCAGTCATCAAAAAGAAAGAAAAAAAAAAAAAAAAAAAAGAAAGAAAGATGAAATATATTTGGAGCCCTAGTATATGCGACCCAAAATATTACGCTCATCACAAATTGAAGAGCGCAATGCAGCATAAAAAGTGCATCAGATCAAAAAAAAAAAAAAAAAAAAAAAAAAAAAGAAAGAAAGATGAAATATATTTGGAGCCCTAGTATATGCGACCCAAAATATTACGCTCATCACAAATTGAAGAGCGCAATGCAGCATAAAAAGTGCATCAGATCAGACTCCAATTTTACTATTTTACTACTAAAAATAGAAGAGGGAACATTGTGCTTGCAAGAGGTAAAACTTGAGGTTAAAATTGATGGGCGCTTTCTGAAACCTCCTTTAATTTGTTCGCAAATCGTATATTTAGGCTCAGTTTGGAAGGAGTATAAATGCAAATATGTAGAGTGCAAAACCTTATGTTTTGTATTATTTTGTATGTATTTGCACTGTATATATTTGTATTTGTACTATTTAGGCTCAGTTTGACAGGAATATAAATACAAATATGTAGAGGATAACACCTTATATTTTGTATTATTTTATATGCATTTGCACTGTACATATTTGCATTTGTACTCTTTCCAAACTGAGCATTAGGTTCAATTTGGAAGGAGTATAAATACAAATATGTATAATGCAAATACATACAAAATAATATAAAATACAAAGTTTTGCACTCTATATATTTATATTTGTATTTGGAAAGATTACAAATGCAAATATGTACAATGTAAATACATACAAAATAATGCAAAACATAAGGTTATGCACTCTATATATTTGCATTTATACTCCTTCGAAAGTGAGCCTTAATATCTTATATTTTGAGAATAGTCGTACTTTAGTACACTAACTTTAAAAAGGTGGCACTTGATTCTCAAAACCTGTCATTTTAAGTTTCTATGTTAGTATTCCATCAGTTATGATGCTTATAATGTTACATGCATGGTTTTCAAAATAGGACCAGACAGGACGACCAGACTAGAAAAATCGGGAACCAGTCATGTGATCGGTTCTGTTTTCCCTCAAAATCAGATTTTCTCCAAAAATTGTTGATTTTGGTTAGCAAACCGCTAACCCAGCCAGTTAACCATTCGAACCATTTGAACGGTACGTTTCGACTGTTTTTTTTTTTTTTGTCAGAACTGGCCGACTGTTCACTTCGAACGGGCGAACTGTTCGACCCAATAACTAGACCCCTAACCGATTCGGTCTCCAAATTGGTTTTAAAAACTATGGTTACATGCGATTTAAAACTTTTAAAATAAAAAAAAAAAATTACCTTTCACACCTAGAAAACTAAACCAGAATAGCAATGAATAGTCACAAACCCACCACAACTCCACCCCCTCTCGAAAATCCCCTAATGTTATCTTGAAGTCCTTCAAAATCATAGTCAAGAATTCCTCAACTGGCATTATCAATTTTGGACAAATGAAGCGAGTCCCCTCAAGATGGGCAACATATGAAAGAGACCATGTCGTCGCGACCTACGAAGTATGAGGTTATTTTGTGCTCCTTATCCACTGTCATATGGAATAGGCGACAGTTACTATAAATGTATTTCAATCCTTATGACAACAAGGGATAGTTTGATAATTTTATTATCCACGGTAACATTCGTTAATGGTGTTGGACTAAAATGATACTTTTGGGGTATTAAAGTGAGACTATTTTAAAGTATAGAGTATTAATATGTAATTTACCATTAATTTATTGACAATGCTTAAAATACTTTCCTAATTTTTTAGATATATTTCTTTATTGAAACTTTGAACATTTGGTGAACTATTATGCTTTATTTTACTAGTAAATGTGTACATGTATTTGCACGTGACAGTATCTCTAAGACAAAACTATTTATAATTTATAAACAATTACTGAATTTTTTAAGTGGGCAATCTTTGAATTAGGAGTAAATGACATATATGTCCTCTTTATACCCGTTGTATCCTTGAAAAGGGGGTAAAAAATGCATATCCAATAAAAATTCCATAAAGAAAAGGCATTTGCTTTTTTATAGGAATATAGATTAGTAGAAAGGGAGAAAGATTAGTACTAGTGAGGGCAAGCCCTGCCAGCAACATCTAAAGGGAGAGAGCTATTCATGGTGTTGACCTTTGTTGACTAATCAGTCAGCCGCACAATTTCCTTCTCTTTTGGTGTGGTTGTGGTTGTAGATGATCCCTTAGGCTGTGTTTGGTTTGAAGGAAAAAGTAGGAAAAGGAGGAAAAGGGTAGGGAAACCTTTACAAACCTTTACAAGGGTAGGGAAAGTTCCCTACCCTTCCCCTCTTTCCCTACCTTTTCCTTCAAACCAAACAAAGCCTTAATGAAATCGGTTGGCAATCCGGTGACAATCTTCAATCAGCAACTTGCACTTTCAGGAATCCTCATACAACCTTGGAGCATCTTGATGACTAAGGCTGTATTTGGTTGTAATGCAAATAAATTTGTACTGATGCAAAGCCATAGCGGTGCAAATGATTTTGAGTGTAAATTCTGACTTTTCCTATTTCAAATTTTAGCTTATTTGGTTTGATTGCAGTATAGATAATGTAATAAGACATGAAACTAAATAAAATAAAACCCAAAACAAAATTAAACAAGAACTTACATTTTTTTTTAATTTGCACTCCCATGTATTTGTACTAATACAAATAAAATTGCACTGCAACTAAACGCAGAGTAAGGAAATCTCCTACAATGATAATGGATGGCACATTGACCTGCAAAATAAGTCTGTGGGCCTCAAGAGCAGCCCATGTTTCTACTACCGTAATTTGCATTAAGACTGCATTAAGCATGTTTTAACTTTTAAGAGAACTAATTCTGATGAATTTTAAATGAAATTTGTTAGAACCAATTCTATTTTCTTAGCTCAAAACACATTCTTCAAAAAGTGATTCTTTGGTGGGCTTCTGAAAAAAAAAATAAATAAACAGTGATTCTTTGGAATTTATGTAAGATATATACATTGATCAGAAATAAATAATTCTTAAATGACTGAAATAAGCCTGATGCATTTCAGATCATCTCATCCAATTTTAACTCCTCTCCAATTACACCACCATTCCTGGAAATGAACTTCACAAATTTGGATCTTGGGCCCTCCGTCCATTGGGTCAATAAGGATCAATTTTCATGCATATTAAACTGGATTTTCTGTATAATTTCAAAGATCTAAAAACATGGATGAGGATTATCCATTCAAAGCGTTTTGGCGATTTGCAAAACCCAAAACATGTTCCTTGTCTATTACTCTATTTTGGATTTGTCAATCCCGCAGGAGACCCTTGAAATGAGATCACATTTCTTGCTACGGATATTGTCTTTTTCACCAAACACTGGCGCCAGTGTTCAAGAATCACTGGAGGTCTTGGTTTTGTCCTGCGAGGGTGGTAGCAGGTAGCAGGTAGGGGTGTCAATGGATCGATTTTGGATTGGACCTGTCCAAACCAAAGTCAATTTGGACGGATTGGATGAATCAACAAAAATTACAGTCAAAATAATAGGCAATTTTGTCACCAGTTTTCAGGTCGATGGTTCGACTGTCCGGTTCAAATAGATGACCCAGACCCGTTTTGACAACAAAAATTACAGATAAAATTACTAACAATTTTAATGGCAGTACTTATAATTGCAAGTTTCTTATTAAGATATCATTATCTTTTTTTATGTAGTAAATAACAATGTTAAAATTTCAATCCTGCCCCTACGAGGCAGGAACCCTCCACTAGTTAAAAGTTATTTCTAAATATACAAATAAAAATGAGTGGGGCGGAACGGGGTAGGGCAAATTCGGGGATCCCTATCCCTATCTGTTTCCCGCGGAATGGGGATGGGGTTGGGATTTTTAGCTCCAGTGGGGTTCGGGGTGGGGCATTTGATTTTGAGGTTGGAAACTAGGCATTGCAAAACCCATTAATTGTATCACCCATTGACCTATTACATTGTTCATTTGGACTTGAGGCACCGCTTGCAGAAAGATTGGAGCTGGCTTCTCCTATAAAAATGTGATACAGATTTTACAAAAGTTGGGAATACTTTATCGTTACTTAGAAGCATGGTTTTCAAAATCAGACCGGACTGGAAAAACCGGGAATCGGTCAGGTGATTGGTTTCGGTTTTTTCTAAAATTAGATTTTTTTCAAAAGTTGTTGATTTGATCTAGACGGTTAACCATTCGAACGGTTTTTCATTTTTTATTATTTTTTTATTTTTTAAATGTGTTTTGTCAAAACAGGCTGACCAT